TCACACTTCCTATCATCCAGGGGTTTATGGTAGAGGTTGGGGTACACTCCAGTCCCAGAAACTTCATGGAGCTCCAGATGCTGAGCCCTGTCTGCCCAGAGGGTACCCCTGGACACAGGAAGAGGGGAAGCATTAGGATCAGCAGAGCAAATCTGGACTTGACTCCACTGATTTGGGCAATGGGTGCAGGCAGAGTTGTGTTGGCGTGTGTGGGCTGGGGGCATGCAGATGTCCCAGAAAATACCACCCCTGCTTTAGGAGTGTTCATCGAGGGAGAGTCTGGGTCCAGCGCCTCCCACAGGAGATCTGACTCACAGGAGGTGCACCTTCTCCTAGGGTGAGCCCAGGTCGCATGTGGATCCCAAAGTCCGTCAGGACCCAGCACTGAATGAGCACCCCCATACAGGAGCCCTGCCTCAGCCTTCTTGGGTCATTCCCTCCGGGATGGACTGGGGCTCCTGGAACTGGCTCCTGAGGCCAATTTAGGGTCCAGTCAAGGAAAACAGAGTCAGCCTGACAGATTCTGAGTGTGGGCTTTGGGTATAGGACTATAAGAGATTTCTCTAGACACCTGTCATGAAAGTGACCTCTATCCCCACATGCGCTGATGTTCCAGAACCCAGAGACACAGGTCCAGAGAGTTGTGCCTTTGTCTTTGTCCAGCTCTGCCAGGTTGGCCAAGGCCTTGAACTGCTCTGAACTTTAGCCCACTGTCTACAAAACTGAGCTATTAGGGTTTCTTCTGTAGGTGTCGTCTTTGTAAGAACCAAATGTGACAAATGCAGAGAACCAAACTGAAGTCCTGTGTAAATATCTTCCAAGGGCCTTCTCTGTGCCAAGTGCTTTCTTCCACACCTAGTAAATCCCAAAGCCAACGGGAGGGCTAATAGACCCATTCCACAGATGACAGCAGGCTCTGAAGCTTTGTCTTTTTTCCCTGGCCTGCTGGTTCGCAGAGTGGGACACATCCTGGTGAACCCCAATGCTAGATGTCAGTGATGGAAGAGTGGGGTGGGGGTGGGGTGCAGCACATGCAGTTGTCCCCTAGCTGAGCCCCTCAGGCCCACACTCAGAGATGTGTGAAGGGATACTCATGACTGAAGCAGGAGGGCTATGGGTCTCCAGGGCCAGAGTTTGGGATCTCATAGATTGCCAACCTGAGTGAGCACTCCTGGGTGAGCACCTTCTTGCCTTGTCTGGATGGCAAGAGTAAAGATGCCACATGTCCCTTATATGATTTGGTTTTACCACTTTCAGACCAAACAGTTTGTTTTTAAAAAGGATGGGAGTATCAAGTAATTTTAAAATGTTCTTTATTCATTTTCAAACTTCAGATCTTTTTGTATCACTGATGTTTTGCTCTTTCCCCAACCACCTATACCATTGAATGCTTTGCTAGTTTAAATCTATTTATTTTTAAAAACTTAAATCATATATTTTAAAATGAAATGTCGAGCAATATCTTAAATGCCTGCTTTAAGGTGCTAGTTATACTTTTTTCTTATCACTTTAAAAAAATAAATATATAAATCCATGGTTTTTAAAATAATGTTTTCAGAGTACCACCTAAAGTCACCTTGATGGTTTCACACTGGGAAACAATGATTGGGTGCCAACCTTTAACCCTGTGCTAAGGTCCTCCTCCAAAAACCCCGCCACTGAATTCTGAAGGTATGAACAGCCCAGGCTGGGCAGAGAGCCACAGAGAGGCTCTAGACCCACCAGGGATCCAGAGTCCATAGCCTTGGAGATACATGTGTCTGTTAACTCAACAGCCAGACCCCTGCCTCTTTCTAACCTTGAACTCCTCTTGATGGAGGTGTCCTTGAGGAGCTGCAGCTCTGAGTGCTGAGTGTGCATGAGATCTCAAAGGGAAGGTGGCATTGCTTTGGGCCTTGATAGGAAACCGAGTTTCCCGGCAGAGAAAGAAAGTGGAGCCTTTTATGCAGGGATAGTGTCATAAGCAAAGGACAGAGAAAGGGTGGTGTGCCCTGCTGCCTTGAATTTGGGAGGGGTCCCTGGGACAGAGCACAGAGCCCAGGTTAAAAGGGTAGACAGTCTGATGTCCCTGGTCCCTGGAGTGTTGACTTGCACCGAGTTTTAAATTTAAATAGCTTGCCAACTTATAAACTGTGGATTACAGGATTTTACAGATCCTTGGCTTTCCTACTTAAAATTAACTCACTCCCCTTTCTTCTGGTCCACTTTTTCACTTAAAGATTTTCTACCACTTGATGATTTTCCAGTAGTCATGTATGGATGTAAGAGTTGGATGGTGAAGAAAGCTGAGTGCAGAAGAATTGATGCTTTTGAACTGTGGTCTTGGAGAAGTCCCTTGGACTGCAAGAAGATCCAACCAGTCCATCCTAAAGGAGATCAGTCCTGGGTGTTCATTGGAAGGACTGATGTTTGAAGCTGAAACTCCAATACTTTGGCCACCTCATGCGAAGAGTTGACTCATTGGGAAAGACCCTAATGCTGGGAAGGATTGGGGGCAGGAGGAGAAGGGGACGACAGAGGATGAGATGGCTGGATGACATCACCGACTTGATGGACATGGGTTTGGGTGGACTCCGGGAGTTGGTGATGGACAGGGAGGCCTGGCATGCTTCAATTCATGGGGTTGCAAAGAGTCGGACACGACTGAGCGACTGAACTAAACTGAACTGATGATTTTCTATAGATAATGAGCTTAATTACTTACCTGTAGTGCGCATTTTCTTTCCTCCACCTCCCAGGATGTAAACTCCAGGAGGACAAGGGTTTGTTTCATTTGTTTGTTGGTTTGTACCTCCTTTACTAACACATTTCAAACACTTATTCGTGTCTGGAACGTAACAGGTGCTCAGGAAGAACTGTAATGAATTAATAGAGGAAGTGAAGGGTCAATGATGTCTGTTCTGGGATAGCGGGAAGCGGCCAGGCAGAAGGCCCTGGTTTCCCACCAGTCCACGCGGATCCCTACCAGTGACTCCCTTAAACTCTGGGAGCAGCTATTGATTTTGTGACTAAAAGGAAACAAGCAAGAGGTTTTAGCATTGGCTTTGGCCGGTCTTGCAGGTAAAACTCCACCCTAGCATCTCTCGCTGGGCCCTAGGCTCCACGATGTGCCCCCTAAGTCCCCGCCGCCCGATTAAGACTGAACCTTGCAGCTTTACCAGTCTGCTCAGGGATCTGGGGCTGGCCGAGACTTGGTCCCCTTGGACCCCAGGGGCATGGGGGAGGGGTAGAAGGGGAAATGAGAGACTTCGTCACCAGAGGGCGCCCGAGCTCGTCCGCTGAGCTCTAGCTTGTTCGCAGTCGGCTAGGGCTCGGGAATTTGGAGATTATCCGCTCCAGCTTTCCCGAGAGGAGGCGATGGCCGGCCGGGGGATGCCCGAGGACTGTATTACCCATTGGATTGGTAATTCTTTAAGGGCAGAGATCAAGTCAGTGAGATTCCCGGCTCAACGCCCAGTACCCAGAAGTGAGCTCGGCCGGGAGTGAATGAATGAATGAATGAACACGGATTCACAAGGCATCAAATTGGGCGCGACAGTAGTTTGGAAAAACAAAACAAAAGACACCCATCCCCACGACTGGAATCCCGGAGCTCTCGCTGTTTCTTGCTGATTGTCCCTTCCCTTGGCCCCCCGTTTGAGCAATTGAGCCCAGACCCGGCAGGCCCCGCCCACTCCCCCAAGGCCAGAGACTCCAGAGACTTGTCCCCACCGAGCAAGCGCCCCTTGGATGGACGCGGGGACAGAATCCACTCCACTGTCAGGTTACGAGGGAAAGAACAGAGGGAGGTGGCCGGAGAGGCTTGTGATCACTAGAGAGGATCAAAAGGGCACTCTTCTCACCCCCGCGCCTTCCAGACCGTCTGCTTGCACCCCTGTCCACTTCGGGACCTTCTCATGTGTCCAGGTTGGGGTGCAGCAGCCTGCTGGGAGGGCTGGACACCGCCGAGGGACGACCCTATTGGTATAGTCTCTAAACCAAAAAGACCATCTCCAGGAGCACCGTCCTGGGTGTGGGGAGGAGAGGAGAGTTCTCTCATTGTTTCGGGTAGTAAGGACATCCGATGGGACGAGGGAGAAAATACTGAAGTGTAAACGGTTAGCTTACATTTCTTGAGTACTGACTATGTGTCAGACTGAATGCTGAGCACTTCGCGGTGGTCTCAAGTCAATTCCCATAGTTCCCCTTCGCAGGGTGGGAAGTAACCCATTTCTCAGTTGAAGAGCAGGTGCAAAGCGCTGAATAAATGCATGGCTACTAAAGGCCTCCGGGGTGAACTGGAATTATTTCCTTTTGACGACACGGTATTCTATTTTAAAGATTCAACCTCATACTTGAGAAATGTGAGACTTGGCTAATACATAAGTGATAGCTTTGGCTTGGAATCAGAGACGCTCTGATGCAAAGACCAGTTTGGTGTCCTTGGTTCCAGTTTACCCGGCCGCAGTGCAGCAAGCCGAGGCCGGTGGTCACTTCCAGGTCCTACACTCCCAAAATAGGACGCTATTAGCTCACTCAGGCTGCCACTGGCCTAGCTGGCCCTTACCTCTATAACCGACCTGTTTGTTTTCCCTTGGTTCTCATTCAGTTCTAGCCTCTGGGACTCAATCTCTCCATCTGCATAATGGGAACAGTTACCAGCCCTGTCCTCACCCCTCCCTGGGCCCCGGCTTCCTCGGTGCAGGTCACATTTCCAAAGCAGGGCCCAGTGCAACTGAGAGGTCAAAAGCTGGGGCTCGCCGCAGTCCCGGGAGCATCCAGCGCTGAGGCAGGGGTGAGAAAGGAGGGGACGGGGGAGCGGCCGGTTGGGAGGGGACTCCGGTCCAAGCCCCCTGCCACAGCCCGGATTCAGCTCCAGGCCCGCCCCTCGCCGCGCGCCCGCCCCGCCCCGCTCTCGCCTCTAAAGTGCCGGGCGCGCGCCTCTTGCTGCCGCACTTTCACTCTCCGCCGCCTCATCCCCTCTGTGTCCGGCCTCCGTCCGCCCGCCGCCGGCTAGTGCCATGGATGCCAAGGTCTTCGTCGTGCTGGCCCTCGTGCTGACTGCGCTGTGCCTCAGCGACGGTGAGTGCGCCCAGCGACCGAGGCGTGGGCAGGCGCTGGGCTCCGGGCTCGGTGCGGGGCCCCGGCTCTTCTGCCACAGCCCGAGCCGTCCCGAGCGAGCCCAACCCGCGCCGCTTTGCACCCCGGGGGTTGAGGCAGCCCACTTCGCGGCGCGCACTCCCTCGGCGTGCGGTGTTCGAAGTCCCCCGCCTGGCGCCCCCAGCTCTGAGGCTTCGCACTCCGCGACAGGGCTCGGGTTCCGGGACCCGGGATCAGCCGCCGGACCTCGGGCGGGCTGCAGAGCGAGATCGCTCAGGATAGTTGGGTGCGAGCGCGCCCTGGGCGCTTTCGGAGTCGGCTAGGGAGGGCGCAGAGATGTGGAGCTGAACCGGGAACCGCGGGTCCCTGGCCCTTGACCACCCACCTCCCAGATTAGTGCCTTCCCGAGCGCAGTTGAGTTTCCAGAGGCGAATGGGCTCCGAGGCCCCTCAGCGCATCGCACCGGACCTGCGATCTGCGGTTCGTGTTGGGGAGAGCGCTTTTGCAAAGCCTGTCTGGCACCGCGACTTTGTTTGTGTTGGCGATGCGATCCGGTCAGCTGCGAGGCGTCCCATTCACGCGAGACCTACCCTCTCTCTGCACCCACCTAAGTGGGGCTCCGTGGGCTTCTCGTTCCGAGCAGCTGTCGGGTTTGAGCCAAACGCCTGGCTGCGCTTCCGCACCCGTAGTGCGGTCCGCAGCCACGCGGCGAAGCTGAACGCGCATCCAGCCAGTGCCTTCCCTGTCTCTTCCTGGGGTCACCCAAGAGAGACCCAGGCGCCATCCGGGTCATGCATGCTCCTACCCAGCCCCCCAAGCACACCTGCAGACAGGCGCCTTTGTCACCAGCCGACTGAGCTCTCTACTTCGAAGTGAGCTGAGCGCTGCTGCAAAATTCAATCTCCAAGGCCTTAGGCCACGGGGAAAGGTGGTGTCCCATTTCACTGTGAGAGGGAGAGAGCGTTTTTTTCCTTTTGAGGCTTAAGAGAAAACTCACTGTCCTGTTACAGGACACCACTGCTGCAAACCAAAATAAACCGTTGCCTCTGAACACACAAAACCAAACCATGTCAGCCTGGTCAGGCCCTGCTGAGAGTTCTTGGCTGTGAAGTTTCTAACCAATCCTGCAGAGGGTTGAAGGACCCTGAGCTCCCTGCAGCTGAGGTCAGTTTGGGGGCTCAGACCATGGAGCAGTCAGCTGGGTTCCCACAGAAGACCACAGGCTGCATTCTCCATGGCTAGTGAATGACCACCTGGGAAGTGTTCCTTAAAAGTGTAGCAAGTTGCTGGTCAAAGCTACTGTGGGACTACCCCCAAAGGGAATTTAGATTTTTTTTTTTTTTTCTGTAAGGTGAAAAAGTAACCTAGCCTTTTCTTTACACAGCCCTGGCCCCAGGTCATGGGGAATGCTCTGGTTTGAGCATGTTAACAGTTGAGTGGTTGGGCGAAAGTGGAGGTGTTACCATCCAGCTGTTGGAGGAGGAAATGGTGCTTCCTCTGGCTGCCACCTCCCCTGGGGAACTGCAGAAATGACTGGAATGCAGGGACCCAGGTCTTGGAGTCCTGGGCTCAGCTGACCCTGGGGAACACAGAAGGAGTGGCGTCCTTGTTCACAGGTTCCTCCTAACTCTGGGAAGTGTTGGTTGCTTGCCCATCTGAGTTGCCCTCTTGGCAGCTGAGTGGCCAGGTCAGGATGGTCATGCTTTCCTTGCATGCATAGGTCAGGAGGTGCTTTGTGACCACCGAGAGGCTGGGTGCTCACACTGAGTCCCCATGTTCAGGCTCTGACTCTCTGGCTTCTATCCTCCTTCCACTGGTTGACCTCAACCACAAAGCTGGGTCCCTGAATGCCCTGGGCTTCTAGGGGTTAAAGCCAGGCTGGGTCCCAGTCCCAGGCCTGGTTGGGGGACTAATTCAGGGGCTCTTGTCTCTGCATTAGTGTGGAAGGACTGCTGCAGAACAGAGCCCAGTTCACCAGATGCCAACTCCACCAGAAGCCAAGTTCACCCCAATCCTGGGTAACATCTGGGCCAGTCGGGCCTCTTGCCTGTACATATGCAAAACAGTTGGAAAAGTTAGTAATATTGGTAAAAAGCTGGCAGGAAGGTCACCAGGTGGACACAGCACCTAGCTCTCTTGGTAAGAACGCTTGGGGCTCTGTCACTTTAAAAAACCTGTTGAAATTCTCCACTTGATAGGCCGGCAACTGGGTCCTGGGAGCAAGAATGAAAAATTGCCTTTGAAGGAAATGGATAATCCCAGGGGGTTGGAGAGGGGAGAGGAGAAAATGAGAAAGCTTGTGTTTTGAGCTTAGAATGGGCTCTGATGTCTGGCCTGATCTCACTGCTTGGTTAATGGAGTCCAAGCCGCGTCTGGGGGACAGAGGCGAGGAGCAGCCCCCAGCATCCACAGCATCGCCCCAGCAGCTGTCACGCTGTGCACCCTCCAGCTTGACGCGCTGGGACTGGGACCAATCCTGCCTCACCACTGGGACCCACAATCTGGTTCTGCTCAGTTGGGACCTGGTCGCAGGACACTCAATAGGGGGACTTTGACTCTTCCTTCACTCAGGGAGCCCAGCCCCCAGCTCCGGGCCACTTTCCCAGGTGCTCTGGTTACAGAGCGCGGCGCGGCAGACTTGTGCAGGGACCTGGTGCAGTTGCTAAAAGCCCTGCCCCAGCAGCGCCTTTCTGGAGTCAGCCCAGGTGTAAACCTGAAGGCTGCTCCGGGCTCCCTACCGCCACAGTCACCTAGTGCCTGGAGACCGGGCTTTCTTCTTCCTGGTTTTCAGGGAAGTCGAGTTTGATCTTGGGAGGGTCCAGGTGGTCTGCTTCCCCCTTGACTTGGTGGCCATGCCCTCTCTCAACTAAATTCGGCCTTTAGAAGAAAAAAAAAAATCCCTTGCTCATAAGCTCCCCCAGCTCTCTTGCCCCAAAACATGGAACTTTAGAACCATCAGGAGGCTTCTGGGAGCCCTGTAAACAGGCAAACTTAAAAAAAAAAAAATCTCTGTACTAAATATTCTCAGACATACATTTAATCCCTGATGAAAGGATTCACAAATTCAAATAATTTGGGGGTATTAAGGGCTTGGATAAAATCTGCAGAAAATGCACACACAGACACACACACACAAATCCTAGGATCCACTCCTCCTTACCCGCCACCCGCACCCCCACCCCCACCCCCCCGCCGCCCTGCTCCTGGGCTGGCAATTCTAGACTTACAGGGTGAACTGTGGGTTCTGCAGGAGCCCTTTGCTAATTTACACTAATGAGTGTCAATTATGGCATTTTGCAAATTGGTGGATTGGCAAACAAAGATGGAATACAACCCAGGAGGTTGGAGCATCCTTGTGCCTCAGCCCTGCAAGTGCAGGGGAGAAGGTGGACTCTTGCCTGCCCTCTGGGGATTCCCAGGGAGGAAGCCAGTTGGGATTCTTTTGTGGTTTGCCTGAGCTTGAGGTAAATGTGAGGGGAGAGAAGACCGCAGGTGGGGGAGGGCAGCATTCCCAGGGATGCTGCAGTGGCTTCTCCGGGGGAGGAGGAGGAGAGAGCAAGCCTGGAGCTCTTTCTTCCCTCTTGTTTTTCCTTGAATGGGGAAGTCTTTCTCAATAGGCCCTGGAGGAGTTGATTTTGCAAAGAATAACTGGGAACCTCAGTGCCTTGGACTGAAACTGTCCTCTCCTGTAATTCTTGCCCTTTTTTGAGAAACCCTAGCAGGAGGCTTCTTATATTAGCTTCCCTAACCCCCTAGGGTCTAGCCTCTTCAGGTCCTTCTGGCCTTTTGCCTTGTCGAAGCTGAGCCCAAGCCCACTCAGAGTTCCCTGTGCCGGCCAAGGTGAAGGTCTCTGCCACGAGGCACCCATGACTCCTCCCATCGCTCCCCAGCAAACCACCACCTGATCCCTCAGACACCCTTGTATCCCCAAGGCCAAGCAGGAAAATAACAAGCTGCCTTGTTCTCATTTCCCTCTCCAGCGAAACCGGTCAGCCTGAGCTACAGATGCCCTTGCCGATTCTTTGAAAGCCATGTCGCCAAAGCCAACGTCAAGCACCTCAAGATCCTCAACACTCCAAACTGCGCCCTTCAGATTGTGTAAGTCTCAACATCATCCTCCAGAAATGGGCACAGTGACACCTCACCCGTAGACATGTTAAAGCTAGGGAAATGACACATGCCGAGTGTCTAACCTCGAACCTAGCATGACTAGCAGCAGCTGACATTACCACCAGGAAGGGGTTTCAAAAGCTGCTCTTAGCCCTGGTGCCCTAAAGCCTGGGTGCCATGCTCCCACAGGTCTTTACCTCCTCTTTCCAAGCTCCCTCCCTTTAGTGTAAGAGATGGGAGCACATTCAGATGCGCCCCTTAGACTGGAGGAACATGAACTTCACCAAACTTTCTTTCTGCTGAAATACAGTAAATTAACCAGCCCCTTGCTAGTAATAGTTCTACCAATTTCAGGGCTTTGGTGCCCTCATTTAATCCTTTATTACACAGCACAAAATCACAAGACCCAAATGCAGCTGAAGCCATCATTAAACTGTTTGGTGAAACTCAAAATCACCAGCTCACTTAACTACATTTTCTGAAACCCAGCACACAAGGTTTTTGTTTTGCTGGTGTTGATGGCAGCTGCTAACATTTGATTTCATTCATGTGGGAAACGAGACACACCAAAATCACATATGCAGAAGACAAAGATCTCTCCTGGAGTGCAGGAGGCTGGGCCGGGTGCAGAAAGAAAGCCACACGTGGTTGTCAATTGCTCAGACCTCCAGTGCTCATGTGTCAATTGCTCAGACCTCCAGTGCTCACGTGTCCCCGTGCTCACTTGCAGTGAGCTTAGTGGGGGACACAACAGGTGGAACAAAAGCTACCTGACGACTTTCCACCCAACAACAACTGGTTTTAGGTTTGATTTTTCTTTGTCTTTTTTTCCTAGCCTTTCCTGCCTTGAATGTATTTGTCATTTAGGGCACTAGAAGATGGATTTTTTTCTTTGCTTGTAATAAAATACTCTCTCATTTGAGAAGTATTTAATCAGATATTGAATTCAGTGAGGATGGGCCACTTTGCAGTGGAGATTTCTTGCCTGGAACTGCATCTCGAGTTGGAAGAAGCCAAATAGAGTCCTCAGGTCTGTTTGCACAAACACAACATTAAAAAACAGCAGACCCCAGAACTGGACCTCAGTTCACCTTGCTCTGAGACTGGCCCTCTGCACAGCTCATTGGCTCAACAGGCAGGCTATGTGAAGACTCCTGTGAGTGTTGCCAAGCCACTGTGCTGGCCTCAGGTGTCCTCATAGATGCCAAGTGGCTGGGGGGTGGTAGTGCCCTCAGGCTACTTGACATTACCTGATACCAGGGATTTATGGAGAGGGATCCAGAGATAAGTCCAGGCTCTCCTCCAGAAGTCTTTAGGGAGGGAGGTTATGAATGGAGGTGATAGGGTGCAGACCAAACTTTCAGAGAACAAATGAGATCATGAACATTCAGTGAACTTGTAAATGCTCTCTGGAAACCATTTTCTGGCAAACTACCTACACTTCCTCTCCCTCACCCCCTTCCCCATCCCTCCCACCCGTACACTGTCCCTCCCCCCACTGCACTCTCACCTCTCCCATCCCCCAGACTACTGCTCATACTTCTCTGTAGGTCTCCAGGCCCCCAGGCTTACTCTTAAGTCTGTCTTCCATGTACTGTCAAGATGTTCCATCAAAATAAAACTTGGCTTCTGCCACCCTCCAGTTCAAAGTCCCCACGGGTTCCCATCACAAACAAAATTGCAGATAAAGCCCCACTTCTTTGCTCCTTACACCTGGCCGCAGGCTTCTTCAGTGTCCTGTCTCTCCAATTCCTCCACATCCTCTCTGCACTGTCAACCCCCTGGGGTATTTGCTCCTACTTTTTTTCCCCCTTTACTTGCCCACTCCTACTTATCCTTCAAAAGCCAGCTCAGATGTTCTGTGTGTGAATTCTCTCTGGACTCCTTAAAGAATTTCCTTCTCTTCCCAGTATATCCGGGGTGAAACCTGCAACATGGCTAGCTTCGTCTCCCTAGCACATCTAGGGTTCCTTCCAAGCCTGAGCCAGCTGGGATGCTCCAGTCGGGTCCAAACCTGGGTATCAGATGAGCAGTGGCCCAGGTCACAGCCGTGCCCCCTTCCGTTCAGCTGCACACTGTCGCCTCTTCTGTTTTGACAGGGCAAGGCTGAAGAACAACAATAGGCAAGTGTGCATTGACCCGAAACTGAAGTGGATTCAGGAATACCTGGACAAAGCTTTAAACAAGTAAGCACAACAACCAAAAAGGACTTTCCACTAGATCCACCTGAGGAAAGCTAAACCTGAATGAGATGAAAGGGCAAAGGTATGGGGGGAAGAAGGGCTGAATGGTGAGGACCAGGTATGCCTGGGGGGCAGTGCATTGACCTGGGGATGGACGTGAGGTTTGCCCAGTATGTAGACAACTCCATTTATAGCACATGGTACAATATTGCAGCGTGTATTCATCCATACTCTTCACATTGGCTGTTTTATAACTGGGGTTTTTCTAAGAAATTATATCATTCCATCAGCATTTCCCACCAGTCAGTTACCTCATGATCATCACAGTCATCATCACTCATTATCCTTTTTTAAATTGATAATTACTTCAAGCTCTGTATTTGGTTTGTTTTGGAGATTCTCCTTTTCTCCCCTGGGGAGTCTGAGCACAGTCAGGTGATGGCCAAGCAGGGAGCTGAGAAAAGCATTCTTCCTCCAGACGCTGAGGCTGGGAGGAAGACTGGGCAGCTCCGGCAGCAGGAACCACTACTAGAATGACAACCCAGATGCTGGCTGGTGCTCGGCAGTGGCCAGTACCTTATACCTCCTGGTTCAAGCTCAGTGACTAGAGGAGAGCTCCATGTAGAACTGCCATCACTGGGGACTGTGCTCAGAGACCCTCTCTGGATCATTCCCAGCCTCTCCCTGCTTCCCAGAGCATGCTTTCTTCTTGCTTCTGCTCCTCATTTCTGTACGCACCCAGCTGGAGGAGGGTGACCGCAGGGGCTCCAGCTCTGCGGCCCCCCTCCTCCCTTTGCCCACACCTCTTCCGCAGGCCCTCTGTGAGATCCTTCTCTGGCCTTCTCCAGAATGGGGCTGGCCCTCTGCTGGGGGTATGAGATCATGTCTCCGCCTTCCCATGAAAGACAGTCTTTGCAAAATCAAATGCAGTTTTCAATCTGAGGGTTTGCTTTGAGGAATTTGGTTTCTGCGATTGCCTCTGAAGCCTATGTAGGCCATGGAGGCTCTACAAATTCTGAGGTTTCTGAAATCAGAAGTGAAAAAAAATAGATGAATAAATGAGCCTCTGACCACTAACCCCTCCTCCTGAAGCCACAGCACAGTTTCAGGTTCCAATCAGAAATGTTGGCAAGATGAAATTCCCATGCATAAATGGGATCCACAGATGGGCCTGGTGGTATTTGTAACTTTTTGCAAGGCATTTTTTATATATATTTTCGTGCACAATTTTTTAAACGTTTTTCTTTAGTAGACAAATGTATTTCAAAATATATTTATAGTCAAACAATTCCTATATTTGAAGTGGAGCCATATGAATGTCAGTAGGTTACATTTCTCTATTATCGTAAACTACTGGCAATTTGTAAAGAAATATATATGATATATAAGTGTGATTGCAGCTTTTTAATGTTACCCACAGTGTATTTTTTCACTTGTACTAAAATTGTATCAAATGTGACATTATATGTACTAGCAATAAAATGCTCGTTGTTTCATGGTATAAACCTCCTACTGGATGTGGGGATTTATTTACCTGAGCTAAAATCCACTAATTGTCAGACATGGGGCTCACACACATTTCTGGTATTTATAAACATAAACTGGCCTGCTGGTCAGGTGCCTTGCATCCCTTCTGCTGAGTTCACATTGCAAGTGACAGTACATGGGCCTTGCTCAGGAGCAGGTTAGATCTGCAACTCAAGCTTTTGCGTTGTTGTTGTTTTTTTTTTAAACAGTGGAATCAGTGGTGCTAGTTTTTTGAAGAATAATATTTGACTCACTAATTCCTCTTCGCCTTCCTCCTCCACCCTGGTTCTCCTAACATCCCCATGTAATCTCCAGAGACTCAACCCTCATAATACCCAGCTTTCACATTTTCCCATGTAAAAATCCCATAATTCCAGCCCATGGTTAATATCAAGCTTTCTCAAGAACAGGTGGCCTTACCCCATAAATCATTAAATACCATTCAGCTTGAATCATTTTAATGTGACAGTCAAGAGCCAATTGCTCTAATAAAGTTGCTCTAATAAAATCCTGCTAACCAGCTCTCTCCCTTGCTCTCCAGAACAATCCCAGTCATTTCCAGGGGTGTCTATGGGCATCCAGAAAGAAGGTGGGGTCGGGCTGCCTTCTTTGTCTCCTGGATGGTCATCCAAACCTTGGTCCTCCAGCCTCCTTTATTCTATTTGAAATGCAGAGATGTTTAAGATAAAGCAGGGAGTTCAGCTCTGCATTGAGATGTAAAGAAGCTCTAGGAGAGCAGGTTAGGGTGACACAGTCTGGCCCTGGGCCTGCCTTCCCACCCTTACAGGTACCAAGTCCTGGTCCCTGTTGGAAGCCTCAGGCAATAGCGGGAACCAGGGTCAAGCTGGCCAATGGACCATGGCTATAACCAGGTCACAAGTATCGGTGTTCTGGAAGCCCTTGTAATTTTTTTTTGGAATTGGGGGAAATGTCTGATTTATTTTAATGAAATACTGACAGACAGTACTTTGCCCAGGAGCCTCCAGGCCTGAGACTAAAGACAGGGTTAAACAAATACACGGGCCAGTTTTAAATATTGCATAGACTGACATGTACTGTTGTTTATTTCAACATTATTAATGGTTCTACTAATTTTATCTAAGGGGGAGCAGAGAAGAAAAAGTGGGGAAAAAAGAAAAGATAGGAAAAAAGAAGCGACAGAAGAAGAGAAAGGCTGCTCAGAAAAGGAAAAACTAGTTATCTGCCACTTCGAGATGGACCGCAGTGCACTCTGCTCCCGGCGCTTTGTAAATTTGCTCTCAGCCTCCTCCAGGGCAGAGCCCCCCTGCCTCCCGGGGCAGGCTCTCAGACTTCCATGGGGGAGCAGTGCTTTGCCGCCTCTGTGGCCACACTGGCTCCTGTATTTATGTGCTTTTCAGGGTCCTTCCTGGTATGCTAAGTTAAGAAGAAAGTAGTTCTGCAGAGATGGGGGTTGGGGTCTGTGATGCAGAGCCCATGTGCTCAGGACTCCATCTAGAACAGCGGACTCTAGAATGGCTCAGGGCTCCATCTAGAGTGACCTGGCATCTCTCTCCAGCATCACCCTGGGCTGATGAGCCTCCCACCTAGCCCTCCACTCCCTCTCTCGGAAGGCCCGTGGTCAGGATCAGGATCACTCAGAGCTGACACAGCTCCACACTCTTACAATTGGCATTCCTGTCTGAGGGCAGCGTGTGGCCACCTGAACTCTGCACAGAGCAGTCTGCTAGTCCAGCAGGGGCGTCTCAAGACAGCCAGCGAGAGGCATGTACCTTATACCCTCTCGTTTGCCCCCCTGCCTGGGGCATCCCTGCCTTTGTGGAGTAGAGCTGGCTGTGCTCATGACATTTGCAGGTGATAGCTGAAACCTTGTCCCAAGTGCCTGTTGCCTGGTCCTCCACTGCTCTGCCATGTGAGGCAGGACTTTCCCCCTGGGCCTGGGACTGTGTGAGTGGCTTTACCTCCAAGCTCAGGTGGGTTTCTTCAGACTATGTGGGGAAAATGGCTGGCAGCTCTGCATTTCCAGAGAGCAGCTGTGGAAATGCTTCTCAGGGAGCCTCTTTGCAGGGCAATTAATTCGCTTTGTAGATTCTTTCAATGGGTCCCGGAGTCCCTGATGCAGAGGAGTTGTGTGAAGCGCCTGTAGCTCTGGGGACTCCTACCATGTCCCCTCCCCTGCTTCTGCGTGACCTTGAGTGATTAGGTTCCGGGACACAGCTGTCTCAGTCCTCATTCACCAGCCCCCAATCCAACACATATACACACACAGATTTATGGCTGAGATTTCTTCTCAAGTCTCTAATTTGGACTGGGAGGAGGGGGGATCCCAGGGGAGAGAAAGACTGATTTCAGTGATACTTTGAAAGGGAAACCGTGAATATATATACTATTTTCCCTATCCCCCATCACACATGGACACACATGCACCCTGCTCCCCAGACCCCTGATCATAATTTCAGTACACAGATCCAGAAAGATGACATGGTTGAAGGATGGAGCACATGGATTTCAAGCGAAGAAACTCAGAGTCCTGGGCTGTCACCTGGGTCACAGAGCACTGTGTCCTCTTGTTTTACGGCATAGGAATTACAGTCATTACTTTTCCCCATCGGAGGAGTGTACCTCCTAGGGCACTGTGGCCAAGGGCTTTTTACTTCCCACTGCATCCCTTGTATCTGGCTAACTCCCCCAGTCTGTACCCCTCTTGCAGGGGCGGGGGGTAATAGTAGGCCTGCTTCCGAGTGTGTGGGTTGCCCATCTACCTCGTCCTGCCCTCGGTGCCTCTGAAGGCCTCTGGATGGTTGCTGGACTGTCTAGGGTTGCAGTCCTTTCTGTGGAAATCAGCAGCAGTGGTCTGCGAGACCTCGGCCAGGGTAGCACTACTGTTACAGAAGTGCCTGAAAAAGCAGGCCAGACACGTGCCTCCATGCTCCCTTCTTCACACCTCAGGAACAGGATATCTTTGTGCCAAAGAGGGTGACAGGTCTGTTCTGGGAGAGCTGTTTGGCCTGTAGCAACTGTGGGTCAAGCTGTTGCTTCCCTGAGGTGGCAAACTGCTTTCTGCAGTGCTCGGGAAGACAGCACCAGCCACCTAGCCCGGGGTCAGCGCAAGCTGTGGGGACTCAGAGAGTTGCCCTCCCTCCCCCCATTAAGACACATAGGCAAGCCTCTGTCTGTCCTTCGATTACCCCACTGGCCCTGGGGCCACACTGTTCTGACCAGCGGGCACAGCCCCAGCCCCACTGAAGACAGGGTCGCCCCCACTGAAGACAGGGTCGCCGTGGAAGAGCCGAAGAGCCGGACCTCCATTCCTTTGTGGGTTGAAACTTAACTAGGCGGCGCTCAGGCGTCTGCCACCAGGTGCGCATGCGCAGTCCCAGCGCTGGCCGGGGGCTGGAGCTCCGCGCTCCAGGACCAACGCGCCACGCCAGCCCAGAGGTCCTGGGGCGGGGCGCTGTGTGACCCGGGCTGATGCCTATGCTGGGCTAAGGCATCCCGCCTCGTCCTGTCGTGTGACCGCTGTGCCATGCCCTCGTTCGTCCTTCTGCACTGTGCTTGCTCTGCCCTCCTGCCCTCTCCGCTTCCCTCCTTCCATCCGTCCCTCGCCTCTTCCATCTGTCTCTCTCACTTCAGTCTCCTCGCTCAGGGTCTCGGAAGGGAGAAGCACCGCAGCGATTTGGAAATCAAGAGTGGGGGCGGTCCCCGGCTGGAAAGGGTCTCGGCGTCTCAAGTGTGCTGCCCCGCCACTGCGGGAACCCGCCTTAATGGTGTCTCCCTCTGTTCTTGTTAACAGGAGGTTCAAGATGTGAGAGGCGCAGGTTGGGTCAGACGCCTGAGGAAACCTTACAGTAGGAGCCCAGGTCTGAAACCAGTGTTAGGAAGGGCTTATAGCCACCCCCCCTGCACCCAGGCAGGGCTGAGTGCATTTCCAAGGGCCTTGTCTTGCACAGTTTGCCTTCACCATTTGATTATGTAGCAGATTATATGGTGTTTATTTCTCATTTAGTTTGACTATCCAATGTCACTGGTAACAGATAGGAACTTAGATTAAGACCATTCTATTACCTGCTTTGTTTTATCTTTCCCACGGAACCCCTTATCTGGCCAGAGGTTCCTGAGCTGTGCAGGCTGGAACCCCAGAACCCCAGAAGGAGGGAGACTTGCCCACATCACCATGTCCAGGGTGGAGAGCCTCCAGGAGGGGTCTGCACCAACCAGCCTGGGCAGATTAGTGAAGGCTGCCCTGTGTGAGTGGTGGAGGAGATAGGTTCTAGGGGGCCAGGCAGGAGGCTCACCCTTCTCTGGGGTGAGAGCAGGGGTGGGCCTTTTTGGTGAGCACCGCAGGGCTTCCCTGAGCTGAGCAGGCAGGAGTGTGAGACCAGGGTGGGTAGGGTGAGATGCACCCTTCATCCCGAGCTCTCCTCTACATCCCATCACGTCCTTCTCATCATTTTCTCTCTCATCCATCGTCACGTATATCCAAGACTGTCTCCGTGACCCCGGAAAAGGACTCTCTCAAGACCAAAGCTTTACTTTAAACTGGGCACCAAGAAGCAACCCAAAATGTCTTGTGTTACCTGGTCCTGAAATCACTGTGCACATCTATGTCTTGTTTGAAATACTGTCCAGTGTCCAATCCTGTGTTTTTGTTCAAAGCCAATGTCCTTGGTGCATGCGCTGTCAGTTCCTCGTATGCAAAGGCTGAGAGTGAGGAGGTGCCCCTTGGGGCCTTTGACCAGGTTTCTGATGAGGGCTGTGATCCGTTTGGGTGAAACCTTGATTTCCCCATGATCACGAACCCCTGGTGGTATCAACAGAGCCCAAGGGAACTCAATTTGCAGCAGTATGGACCTCCGAGGATGTAGACCTTCAAGGCTTCTATAACTGTTGATATCTCAGAACTACAGAGAATTTTCTCACTGTGGTGTCAGCACTGTTTGGGGAATAACGAAAAAACTTTTTTTCAACTTTTTTTGGTTTTGAAAGCACGACCCATAAAATAATCAAAGCTGAACATGAAGATTCGTTCCCAATTAAAATCTAAACTCACCTTTTCCACCATTTGATGATTCTGTCATCTTTTACCTTGCACAGTGGCCCCTGGACCTTCTCTGCTGCCACGGTCATTTTGTGCTTTCAGGATGTCCAGCAGGGCATTCCTCTTAGAAAACGATGGACTGGTTAGGAAAGTAGCTTACAAATCCTGACATTTAGGGTGTTTCCCTTTACTGAGAGCAGTTTGTATGGTTGCATTAAACAGTTTAAAAATCTCACTTTCTGAAAAGGTAGGCACTTGAAAGGTTTTTGCTTGTTTTGCTTTTCATTTAGTCTCACTAATACTTTTCCTCTCTGGTTAAAGTTCCCAGTGAAGTTTTTTAAGTTAAGAAAGTAGAAAAAAAAAAGAAGGACAAAACCAGGAAATGTATCAATTGACAGGAACTGTAAATAACATGCAAAAAGTACATAGTTGTAAAATAACCTTGAATTGTAGGTCTTCTCAGATTTAATAATCTTTGAGTTATCAGTAACATGTGTTAGGCATTTCCATAAATATTCCTTTAAATTAGATCTTCACGGTATATGGCCAATCCATCAACCAAACAAAAATTCACGTCGTCAAACCAGCTTTGTTATACTGATAAAAAAAAGAGTATGGAGGGGCATTTATTAGTTACAAGGTATACAGAACTGGTTTCAAAACCCTCTTCTGAAATTAACCTGTCACTACAGGGCTCCTGAATTATACATGAAATGATCGAATTGTCAGTGGGAGAGTCATTTTCTAAGTAATTCAAGATATTTTTAAAATCTCATGGAAAATTTAGAAGCATCTTCCCCTGGAACCCATGAACCAGAACCATTAAATCTCTTTCTCTTAGAAAATTAATACGCCCTAAATAAATCTTGACTGCAGTTAAATAAAGAATGGTTTTTGTTCCTCCCCTATTGGGGGGAAAATAGATAAGAGGAGAAACTGCCTGGAAAATGATTTGTGTGACAATTCCTCTCCTTGCAGTTCTCCTAAGTGGAGACTGCCCAGCTAAAGCAAATATGCATTTAAATAGTCCATTTGCACAGGAAAAGACTCTCTTGATCCCCTTTTGCTTTCAAAATACAAATCCTGTGCATCACTTTGATTAGGGAGTACCCAGCTGTTCCTCCTGGTCCAGTGCTGCCCCTCTCTGACCTTCCCTTGTGCTCCGTGTAACCTCCAGGGT